CTGCCTCGCCCGGGAAGAGCACAATGATGGTGCCAACTTGGGCCAGTGAAGCAACATCCTCCACAACTAGATTGAAGAACAAAACGACAGCAACTAGTCTGTTCCCCTTCCCCCAATTCCCCCAGCAATGTTCCCATCCCCCCAATTCCCCAATAAAAATCTTAAAAAAAAATTAGCAACAATTAAGATAAACATTAATAACTCTTGACATCCTAGTCAAGACTCTCCACCGCATTACCTATTTAAAAAGGTTCAGAGAGGGGCTTGAAAATAATGTCTTTTTTCCAACATTCAGGACACATTGATACTTTTAGAGAAAGCATATTTTATTAGGTGCCTGTATTTAAAAATTATTAAATATAGGGACACTGAATAGCAGAGTGGAGGGAAAGCTCTCACATTCTAGCTTGAACAATTCCACTGCAAGGTGACTCTTCTAATTGGTTTTCAGGGGCTGTTGCCTTAGTCAGTTGGCTGCTCCCTCCTGTAGATGGTGCTATTGTGCGATGGAGTCCTGCTTTTATCTCTTGATTGCTTACATTAATTGCCTGCTGTTGATAACTGTTTATCTAAACACACCCACAGAAATAAGAGGAATGGCCCATTGAAGAAGGTCAGGATAAAAGTTCTTTCCAAATGAGAACTGAAAGGATCATAGTTCAGGATGACACCCATCATTATTTTAAAAAGTTACTGTCCTAAATATTGCTCTTGGATTTATTACCAACAACCAGAAGAATATTTTTCCAAATTTAGTTAGTAAAGAAGATTGTCCAGTGTCTCCTCAATGATATAGGTATGGCAAAGCTGCAATGAAACATGAGAAAATGTAGAGGAAAGACAAACGATCCACTACTGAAGCATGCAATAGGAAAACTAGAAAAAAAATACCAATCTGGATCTGAGAACTGGTCAGGCATTGTTTTCTCTTCTGGATTTTTTGTTTTTTGTTTTTATTTTTGTTTTTTCCTTTTTTTTTAGGTACAGACCTCCAGGAGTGATTTTAAATCTTCTATTATTGAAGGAGCTCTGAGGCCTGTAGGAGTTTAGAGTCTGTATAATTTGGAATATTGAGCCCAGAAAAGATGAAAGGGAGGGTTGTCTGCTTAAAAATAGGCTTGGGAGATCAAGGCCTAAAGGATATAGTTAAATGGTCTTTTAGGTTTCCCATTCGTTTGTCATGGAGCATTTACTATGCGCCACACACTCTGTTAGGCATAGGGTTGGGAATGGATATCTATTTAGTTAGCTATTACTGCTAAGATATCCCAAAAGTCCATAGCTCTGAACAATTATTTTATTTATTTTATATTTTTTTAATTTTTTTTTTTTGGCAGAAAGTACTATCAAACTCCAGTCATAGAGGCAAGCTCTACTGGTGTTCGCGAAAATCCTGCCATTCATATAGCATACTTCTGACACTCAGAAGTTCACTGGCCAAGGCTGGCCTCCACCCTGAGCTTTAATAGTGTGCATGGACGATTATTTTTTATAGCTCATGTGTCTTTATGTCAGGAGGAGTTTGGCTGATCTCGGCTGGGCTCAGCTGAGCAGCTTTTTCTCAAGCCATGGACTTATCTGCTTGGCTCAGTCTCCCTCTGTGTATATTTATTCTTGGGTCCAGGCTGAGGGTGCAGCAACTGCCTGAAGCTCTTCTCATGATGCCAGATGCACACTGGGGCAAGCAGAAACACACAAGACTTTTAATTTTTTTTTCCCACAAGACTTCTTAATGTGTAGGCTTGCAATTTACACCTCTCATCTCCAACTCATTTTATTGGCCAACGCAATTGCCTTGATGAATCTCAAAGGCTTAACTTGAACTCTACGGGAAGAACTGCAAAGTCACATGCCAAAATTGGGAAGACAGAGGTAAAGAGTTGGTTTCATTATGCCCCCTACCACAGATGGGCTGAAGATATAAAGATGGTCACAATGCAGTACCTATCTTCAAAGAAATCATAACATAGTAAGAG